GGGCGTGAGGTGGTGGTGGTAGTGAGAGATAGGATTTCCTCTCCCCCTTCTCACGAGTTTTCATGGTTCCCCGTTCACATTTTGCAGTCTTACCTGATATACTCTCTCTCAAATTTTATTTTAAATGGCATGTTGCTATTAACCCCACCTGCCCATTAGTTTAGTTTATTATTATTACGGTCTTAAGACCAACATACAGAGTAAGCGTAACATGTGAGGGAGAGAGAAAAACAGTAATAATATACAAAAATAGAAATCTGAATTTAAGAACTTTCAAAATGTGATCCCCACAATTTAAGAATTAATGCAAAAAACTCAGTGACTGAATGTGTAATCTCTGCATTCCTATCTGATAGGAGCCAGTGAAGCCTTGTCTTGTTTGCATTAATGTGTCCAGGTGGCCTATCGACTAATGGGGTAATAATTTTAAGACGAGCCTCCCTATAAAATGGACAGCTGAAGAACATATGCTCTACCAATTCAACCTCAATTAAAAGGCATGGGCATAGCCTTTCAGAGTAGGGGGTTTTATTGTACCTGCCTTGAATAATCACAGATGGAAGGGCAGAACATCTAGCTAGGGCAAATGCCCTTCTAGAATTCTTTCCCTCCACTGAAGTCAAATATATTGCTGGCTCAATGGTGCTTTTGATATTTAACAACACCCCGCACCTGCCCATATTTCACACTAAGACAGACCATTATTTTCTTTACAGACTTAGGCCTCCCTTCACCCCCTCAATAAGGACAGTACAGTGGTTGTTCAAATCTGTTTAATAAAATGGACCATACAATGTTCAGATTCAAAATTAAAAAAACCAACAAGACAAAACCCCATCCAATCGAGTGCCCTGTGAACATTCTCTATTTACAGTTCAATCCTTCCTTGTAACAGTTAAAAAAAAAAAAACAGTTTTGAGCACAAATCAGAGTTCCCATTAGTTTAAAACTTTCACAATTATTTTGAAGTGCAAAGTTTCGTGCACATGTGATACAGATTTCACTTTTATTGCTGTTCTGTGTTGCTCCCGTGTCTCCCCAGACAGAATTGACATGTTTGCACTGTACTGGCAAAATGCTTTTAAAGTTTTAAATCAGAGAAAAACCAAGATTAGTTAAAAACCATGCATGGTTTTAAGTTTTCAGGCTTTCCAAGAACATCAGCTTGGCATGGACAGTAGTTGCTTTGTTGGTCCCAAAAGGGTAAGATATAGAATATGTATGGTGACTTTTTACTTCAGTTGCAAAGGAAGATCTGCAAGTTTTAGAGCTAAACAGAACTCTTTAAAAGGCAGAAAAGAGCAGTATCTCTCAAGATTTAAAGCTGGTTCCATGTAAATATCTTTATGTAAATAACACACATAAATATGAGTATCTGCATAAGTCCCCAGTTTGTGTTCTGTATAGCCTAGTACTAATTCTGTTCTACCTGCATAACTCAAAAAACTTGCATTTACCAAATGAAAAAGGTAATCACTTTCGCTGCTGTTCTGCATCATATTAGTAGCATTTTGGTATGTTCTTGGACATTAAGGATCAGGATCCAAAACAACTGTGGGGCATAAGCTCAAGAGAGCCTCAAGCTTGTTTTTTCCTTGGGGAAGTAGCCTCCATGCTTGCATGATAAACAGCTTTTGAAAGTGAGGGGAGTTTCAAAAAGCAGTCTGTGACATGGCATCAGGGAGCCTGCTGTACAAAAAACACACTTCAATGAGCTGGTGCAACTCCACCGTACAAGCCTGTGCAGTTTTGTGAATCTTAGCTTAGTATTTGTGCTGTTCCTCAAATGCTTTTGAGGAACATGTTTCATCCCTTTGCAAGTCTTCCCTCACCCACTCTTTATTTATTTGAACAGAAGCATGACCTGGAACTAGCAGCAGTGTAGGTTTAAAAAAAACCCTTAAAAAAAAAGCAAGCCAACAGCCATTTACATAATGATGCTACCCGTCCCATAATGTGTGGGACTTTGTAACGTTTTCCAGCCACAAAAGGAACAGAGGCACAGCAACAAGTTACAATCTAAGGTGCAAGGTGAAAAACGCTCCAAACGGGTTCCCAGAGGATCTCGAGATTACATATGTAGCCTGGCAACACCCTGAACAATCAGTTGCAAAAAAAAAGGGGGGGGGGGGAGAACCTTCCATTCTGTGCTTTCTCCAGCTATTTAAGAAGACAGAACGTAGTTTGTCAAAGATAAGCAGGAGAGCTTCCATTATACAGAACATGCAGGTAGAGCTAACCACTTAATTGTTAACATCTAACATCTAAGAAAGGAGAGGGGACATAAAACGCCAAGTCCAGGGGACATAAAACGCCAAGTCCAGAAACCCTCTATGAGTGTGGCAATGACATCATTTACGGCACTTAGTGAAAAACTCCGCATGCACCAGGTGAGGAGTGGGAGGAGAGGAGAGAGGTGGGATTATGGGCAGAAAGTGTTTTGTCATTTCTACCCCCCCCCCAGCAGTTTGCCTCATGACAACACCCCTCCCATTCAAAGCAGCTACTTAACACTGGAGTGCAAAAATCTGAAAAAAGTCCATTGACGATCATTCTCATGTCCTGGAAGATATATGGTTTTTGCTGCTTTTATTTTCAAAGCAATTTTTACAAAGCCACAAGCTTCTTGTCACTTTTTTTTCCTTTTTCCATTCTGTAACGCACTAGTCTTTTTTTGTTGAAAATGCTTCAGAAACCCAGATGAAACTTTTAAATTAACACCCTTTTTCTTCTGCCCCAAAACAACAGCAGAGGATTTCAGTTGCAGCACTGGGGACTGAAGCTGAGAATGGGCCAAATGCAAAAGAAATCCTACTCATTCAGGATACAAAGCAGCCAAGTGAAACCGAAAAATGGTAAATTAAATCCAAAGAACCACACAAATATTTCGGTGTCCCCACAGGGTCTTGTGCTTTTAAAAAAACACCCAACTCCAATGCTGCACAAATTAGCCATTTTTTTAAACTGGGGAGGAGTTTACAACATGGAAATCTGACCATTACAGCCAGAAATCCCACTGGGTTTGCGCATCTAAAGGAGTTCTTTGGATCCTGGCTAGAGTGTGAACGATAATGCCCAAATCAGGGCTCAATTCTGAATGGCCTAGGCCAGATGCCCAGTTTTGTTTGCATAGCATTTTGGTGAGTTTAACGTTCTGCTCCAAAGGGGCACATGGTGCAGAGTAGGAAGAGGAGGGAGAGAAAAGAACAGGAGAATTTAATCAATGTAGCTCTTGCAACACTGGTCATTGTTGTTCCTATGAGCTGCAAAGCATACACTTCAAGGGGATGTGCTTACAGGAGAATGGCACCAAATTTAATTCAATTGTTTGTTTTCTCAAAGGCTCACTTTGGCAGGTTCAGGGGGGGAAACAGCAATTCCAAAAAGACAGTCATGCTTAGTATACAAGCTCTCTTAACTACCCCCTGTGGCTATGCCCATTTTTGTATTCAAATGACAACTACCTACACATTATGTATCACCTAGCATAACCTTTCACCTTGCACTTGCAGGATACTTGGTAGCTGCAGATGCGAGGTCTAAGTTCACTGTGGGGAGAAGAGATTTTCTTGCTGGACACAAATCAAGAACCAATGAGACAAAAGTGCATTTTGACTTTCTGACATCAGAAGAGTCCATGAGTTTCTTTAACTGCAAGGGCAGAAGGGAAATCCCAGCCCCCCCCCAGTCCACATAAAACAAAATAGCAACAACTAAGCAGTGGAAGCCATCATGATTATTTGCAAATACACTGGAATTTTATTAAAAAGGGTGGTAGGTGAAAAATGCTCCTCAAGGATTTTGCAGGACAGAAAATAAGACTGAGCCCCCTTAAGAACTCTGGATTGACGTTTGCAATGCAATTCATGGAACAGTCAATCCACTCCATCCTCAGTGTGAACGCTCCAAAGTCATCAACCGTCGAGAAAAATGAATTGGATTTGAGTGAATTTTGGCAACAGACTCTCCACATTGTATAAAAATAATACTCAATAATAATAAAAAAATTCATTGGTATAGAAAAAAATCAGGTCAACAATTGATAATAGAGTTTCTATTTATGCCAGTGGGGTATGTAAATATTTCTTCCCTCTCTTTTTCTCTCTCACACAAACATACACACACCCCATTTGTCAGAAATGTATTTTTTTTAATGAAAAGAGATGAAAAACCCATCTAAGAAATATGCCAGAAACAATGCTTATCAACAGGCAACCAGAAAAATAGATTTATCAGCAGCTCTCTGAATTTGTATTTGCAATGTTAAAAAGTGCACAGAATTTGGACCCCATGGTGAGGTTGCGAGCTACTATGGAACTGCAAGCTTTGTGAATGTTTAAAAAAAGAATTCCGGACACCTTCAAGAGAGAAATGTGGACTGTCACGGAGACGAGAGTATTGTTGGGTATGATTCTTACTTTTCCCCTTGAAAAGTGAAAAAAATGTCAATATTTTTGCAGCATAGCAGTAAGGCACTCGGCCCACAGTTAAGCATGTGACCGTTGCATCAAAATGGGGCAGCAGCTGACCCACGTCAGCAGACGGAAGACAGTTTCCTTTTTTAAAATTTCAGCTTAGCAGTAGTTAAGTGCTGGGGGTGCCTTACATTAATTACATATAAGGGGAGAAAATTAATTTTACTTCAGGGGGAGGGCTAAGCATTAAAACTCTTCTATAAACTACTGGATTTTCTTCTTCTTAACCAATTAAAGCATCTTGTATCCTAAAATATTAGTTTTTATAAATCTAGTCATCTGTTTTAAGGCTCTAAAAATCCCTTCCCCTCCCACCCAAAACAACAACACACGCACACACGCACGCACACACAAAACCCCCCTTACCAGCATTTGATTTGGCATCGGAGGACCAAAACAGCTATTTCACAGTCAAAAGTCTAATATTGCTTTCCCCCACCCCAACCCCCTGCAATGAAAACCTGCTTTTCTTCTGACAGGAAGAAGTATCCCTTCCTCGGTTCAAATACTTTTTGTTTGGTCAGGTAATTGGAAAGCCTGAAAAACAAAGAGTGTCTTGTAATACTACAAAGGTGTGTCCATCCGGTTTAAGTGGCTCTCCTGCATTTGCCCCAGAGGTTGCTGGTCTTTTTTGCCTCCGACACCACTGCAGTGATTTCTCATTGGATGCTCACAAGGTGCTCCCAATGCTTCCTTTTTTTTTTTTGTATGGCTCCTACAAATCTGAAAGCTTTCTGGAGTGAGGTAAAAAAAGTTAGGCTTTCAAGCAAAGTACATGGTACGTAAAGTGTCCTGGTGAACTTGCACAGCCTTGGCAAGGGCCTGAGGGTCTCGGCCGTTGCTCTGGCCAGATATGTGGCTGCCTTCTCCGCTGGAAGGAAGGGAGAGAAACAGAATTAATTTTCTGCAATATATAAAAAGTTATGAATTGTTTCAAGGGGGAGAAAATGCCTACAGGCAGAAAACCCTGGAGAGAGAAGCTGGAGCTTGAACTTCTGTTCCTGTTTTCTGTGCTCTTTTCTACAGAGTTTTATTTATTTTCTTGAAGTGGGAGAAGATATGATAATTGCAGTTCCTCCAACTCCATCACCACTTATACTTTCAAGTGGCCCAGTACAGAAAGTTCTACCAACTGATTAGTTGTTTGCCCTGTGAGCTACAAGAACGCTGGCACTTTGCCAGCACCTGTGAGCCCAAACAGATGCTTCTGCCCACTGCATCTCTGCATGATTCATTGCATAGGGCATGCCTATTTCCAATCAGAAAGCATGCCCAGAACAGTGACTCACACAGAGACATAACCTCTATGATTGGTAGAACACGCCAATTCAGCAGGGTTGTTTTTTAAAAAGTGCATAAAATTTTTGGCGCATACCTCCAATTTTAACTCAGGAGGGAAGTATTCCTCACTTATCAGATGTCTAGAGAACATCTCTTCCACACAACTTAGGGTATATCCAGAAAGGAAGCATCCCATTTCCAGTCTGCTCATTAACCATATATGCACAATGCAAGACAAAACATATACCATGAAATAGCAGGTGCCCAGTTTTGCAGGGGATTAAGGCACAGTTCTTGCCATGGCCCATACACCCACACTACCTGAAGCATAGGAATTCCAGGGATATGATGTACCCCACACACAAATCATGTCACAACCACCACCACACCACCACCACTCCGTTCTACAGAGTTTCCATCATTCCAAGAGTGATGGAAAAATTCAGCTGCAAATAAAAATAGTGGAAGGAATGCAGACTGTCGACTCACCTATCATGCTCTTTGTCTACGAGGTGGTATCGCGCCCGAAATGCCACCAAGCGGGCGTAATATGCTGGTGCTGGGATGGAAACAGAGCGGGTGCAGCGGACATAAGTGTGGCAGAGCTGGTAGGTGAGGATTTGAAGCTCATCTGCTGTAAACCGGTTGTCGTCCCAAAGGACATAGTAATGGGAAGGTCTGCTTGTACCCTGGGCAGGAAGTACTAGAATTAAATTCTTCTCTGGAATCAAAAGGTATGAAGATGCCTTCCTGGGTTGATAACTTAATTGTAAAGCACATCCAAGAGAGAAGTCCCTCAGTTATCAGAGAAGCTCTTCTCCACGCAACTTCGGGCGCACCCAGAAAGGTGGCATCCTAGAAGGTCCTAGGTTCACTCCCATCCCCATCATCTCCAGGTTCAAGAATCTCAGACAGTAGGTTTTGAAAAGCAAAATAAACAATAATGAACTAGGTGGACCAGTGTTCTGACTCAGTGCAAGGCAGCTTCAAATACAACCAGGGTAGCAAGCAAGCAAGATTATTAATATACTACAGCCAAGAGGTGGCCAAAGGTGCCAAGTATATTTTTCTGTTTTCAGCATTGTGATAATGCGTAAGGACTTAGGAAGAAATTCACTGCAACTCATTGCATCTAAAGCAGGTTTCCCTCCAATCAAGTCCTGCATGTTTAGAGTTGTGGCAGTCATCATCAAGAGGATCTGTGAGACACTGCTGTTTCAAAGGGCTTTTTGTTAATTATTAAGGGCTGTAAGTTTTGTTTTGCTGTTCAACGATACTGAATGTTTCTTTTCTGAGAGGGGAATTTTTTGTGGATATTTAGTTTTTGATAGAGTCTGTAAATTGGATTTTAGTTTGTTTTTTTAAAAAAAATAATAATTCTGTTTCAGTTTATCTTATATAATTTTTGGCTTTCTCTTAGATGCCAGAACTATAGGTAAAGGTAAAGGTTCCCTTGCTTGAAAGCCAGTCGAATCCGACTCTAGGGCTGCGGTGCTCATCTCCGTTTCAAAGCCGAAGAGCTAGCGCTGTCCGAAGACATTTCCGTGGTCATGTGGCCAGCATGACTAAACACCAAGGCGCACGGAACGTTGTTACCTTCCCACTGAAGTGGTACCTATTTATCTACTTGCAATTTCTTGCTTTCGAACTGCTAGGTTGGCAGGAGCTGGAACTAGAGACGGGAGCTCACTCCGTCATGCGGCACCCGGGTCTCGAACTGCTGAACTACCAACCTTCCACAGCCTGCAGTTCAGTGTCTTAACCACTTGAGCCACCGCAGCCAGAACTATACAAATGCTTTAAACATACTGATTACATAACACTTGAGGAATATGCTGAAGATTTTGTAGCAAATGGTAAAGATTTGTGGAGACTGAACATGAGACTCTTCTGTATATATCAGACTTCACATACTATTAGTAAATGTGGTATACCTTTAACGGTTCTCTCTGTGTGTGTGTCTCTCTCTGTGTGTAAAATGCCATCATGTCACAGCAGACATATGGTGACCCTTCATGGGGTTTCCAAGACAAGAGACAAGCAATGGTGGTTTGCCATGGCCTGCCTCTGAGTAGCAACTCTGGACTTCTTTGGTGGTCTCACACCCAAGTATCAACCAGGGCCGACCCTGCTTAGCTTCTGAGATCTGATAAGACTGAGCCAACCTGGACCATCCAGGTCAGGGTGAATAGTGACCTATTTAAAATCATCTTTAAAAACAGCTGCTGCTCCTTCCTTGAGCCTACAGACCACAGATCTTCTGTTCTAGGGGAGTCCACAGATTAGGGTGATGCTGATGAATATCAGCTTCCTCCAACATTTACTACATCTTTCACCGGGAAGGGAATAGGAGTAGTTAAACCAAAATGTATGTTTCCGGGGCTTTGGCTAACTCATAAGCACGCCCTTAAACCATGGTACCTGAATGCCAGCATGACTGCAAAGATAGAAGTCAAATTCGAAGGGATGAGTGATGTTTGTGTCCACTGTTGTTCCTGCTGGGATGTTCCCACTTTTGCCAATCTGTACAGGTTAACAAGAAAACAAACAAAAAAATAATAATAATCAAGGACCAGCTCTCAGTAACATCAGAAGCTTGGGATATATTAGATCTTGCAGGGTGGGAATTCTGTCTCCACATTTTCCATCAAGCTGTCTCTTCAATTTCTCAGACAAGCTGCTTGCAGAACACAGGGATATTAGCTTCAGATTCTCTTAAACTTGTTGATGTGATCCTGGGATTAATCACCCTTTAGATCACTTCAAGTGTAGATGGTCACTATGTGAATTGGACCTGAAGGAGAATGAAGGGGAAGGAAAGGATCCCAACTATGCTCAACTTGCTGCTCTTCAAGCAGGAGACCACTGAAAAGTTTCTCATGGTTCTCCCCTCCAATATGCAGAGGGTGGGTGGAATTCTGCACTGACGAAAGCCTATTCCTCCAACCCGAACACATGATGCGGATCAGCATAATGTACTCTTCTTCTGGATGATACCTGTTCAGAGCATGCAGCCTGTTCAGACTGATCAGCCCCCGCTCTTGAGGTATCAACCAGGCACACCTCAAATGTTTTCAAGCCCATCTCTGCATTCATAAGGATTAGAAACACAGGCAAGCAGAACCCTGAGGATCCTGCATTTGTAAACCCAATTCAAATTCTGCATTTGCGTCATGCCTCTGCAAAGGCACAGCACCCACATGGCATTTGCTCTAATATCTCTTTTGCTTTGATGTGCATGGGGGGGGGGGGGGGGGGGGGGCTTGGTATAGTGGTTAGGAGCGTGGATTCTAATCTGGGAGAACCAGGTTTGATTCCCCACTCCTCTACATGCAACTGCTGGTGTGACCTAGGGCCAGTCATAAATTCTCTCAGAGCTCTCACAAGCAGTTCTCAAAAAAGCTCTTTCAGCCCCACCTACCTCACAGGGTGTCTGTTGTGCGGAGGGGAAGGGAAAACAGATTGTAAACTGCTCTGAGACTCCTTTGGGTTCAAATCTAATCTCTTCTTCTACTATCCCCCTCAGGACTCTCTATCTGAATCATGATCACTTTAGGGCAAAACTGGTACCCCAGAGCAAGATGTCCAGCAATGTCCGCTTCATGAAATACCTAATTTAACAATTGTGGTTGTTGCTGAATCTCACCCTCTCATTTTTATCTGCACAGAAGAGGCGAGTGTGATGCCGTTTCTGAACGACAATGTAAGTGATGCCCGGCTGGTAATCTTTCTCCAGTTTGATGCAGGCGTCGCGGATGGCTAGGAGTTCATAATGAAGAATCTAGGAGAAAGCAACCACAACACTTGGAAAAGAAAGAGGAAAGAACAAGAAAGAGGCCATGCCAAGACCATTGTGTCAGAACAGGAGGACCTAGTTTATCAGTTCGACTGACACCTCCCCTTTCCCCTCAGAAGATCCCCAATTGTTGGAAGAGGTCCCGATTGGCAAGCTGCAATTTCAGAAGTCCAACTCTCACTGCAGGCACCTATCGAGTTTGCAAAAGGCAAGGATGCGTGAGCCCATCCCTGAAATTAAGATGCCGTACTTGCTCAAAGTGTTAACACCTTGCCCACTATACTGGTTGCAGGAGGCCCCAGATATCTCTCCCCTCTAGGAATCTCTAGAGGAGGAGCCAAGGTCAGTGACTGAGGAGGACCAGAGGGACCAGGAAGGGCCCAGCACTGCAGAATCACATGCAGATGATACCTCCTCACTGCCAGAGGCCACTCTGCTAGAGCCTGCAAGGGAAGCCTCTCCACCAGCCCCAGAAAGAGTCTCCAGGAGTCTGCCATGCAGGACCTGAGCACAGCCCTGTAGGCCCCCCAGACCCTCTTCCGGTCTGCAGGAATG